CTCTTTTTGTACTCTCTGTTTTAAAGATTCATTGTGATTTGCTGGATTTTTAGGCAGAGAGAGATCTCTTATTTTTCTTATTCACTTTGTTGATTATGCTTCATGTCCTTATTATGCCCCCTCCCAAACTGTAGCCACTTATTTGAAAAATATAAAATGTAGGGGGTTTAGTAGGATTTTTTAAAAAATTATTCTAAAGTTATATTTTAGGGGATTGCAATCTCACATATATGATAAATATTCTTTGGCTTTATTAAAACATCCCCCCTCCCTGTTTTGAATCTTCCCCTCCCTTTTGAATCCGAGGTCCCCTTCAGCAAAGAAATTTTCATGTGTCTAAAGCTGTCTTTCTATAGAAACCACGGTCTTCTGTGATGAAAAAGCCCTTTGAAATTATCTGACAGTTCATCTCTGCAATTAGTAATTTTCAATTACTACATTCAGAGTGGCATAGAGCATTAACATATAGCCATCTTAGAAATCACATCCAGTGTCATCACTCCTTCAGTTTTGGTCGTTTGCTGTGTCTGAGGTTTCTGGGTTATTGGGACCATTTGCAGGGCACCATCCATTTGGACCTTTGTCTTTTCTGACTAGTGAAAGCCACTGCTGATTCACTGCATTACTTAGGCAGTTAATAATGCTCTACGAAGAACTGCTAGGAAGAGGTATTTTGTCAGCTGCAGAGGCAACAGTGTGGGGCTCATGTTGCTCCAGGATCGATGGCACAACTCTGACAATCTTGCCTGTTGCCCAAGCATGTCTCATTTTCAGTTTTGCAGCTGGAGGCTACTGATAGAGTGTGGGTAAATGGCCTGTTCAACAGCTACTCTTTCAGGCATAGCTTTACGTGGTTCACCCAGCTGAACCACCCTAGCACAAAACAAATGTGAAGATGGTTGCCCTGAGGTACTTTTTCTTCCTGGATGGTCCCAGAGGGCATTGTTGGGTGCTATACTTCAGTGCACTTTCTACAGGGATATTTTAAGAATCTTTTTAGAAATCTCTCATCTCCAACATATGCATAAAATAAGGTGATTGGTGAAGGGAGAAGTTATAGTCCTTGGTGGTCAGTGCTTGTTAGACGCTTTGCCTAGTTCTGACTAGTCAGAAAACTGCTCTGGCACATGTCCCCTCATTTATGTTTTTCCTGCTGATAAGGCAAATAGGCCTATGTATTATTTCAGATCTCCACCTTGAAACACTTTTTGCCTTCTGAGTGGTCTGTGGAAATATTCCTTCAACAAGCACTACCTTGAGTTCTCAAAACTGAGCTTAGCAAGGCTGCTTGATTTATTGAAGTGGGTTCTTAAGGAAGTCCTGTGACATCTTGTTGCTGACAGCTCAAAGCTTCTGACTAAAGATGAAGTTATTGGTTTTAATTAGATCTGGATAAAAGGAGCAAAATCATAACAAAATTCTCATAAAAGATCATTTCCATTTTTCATCAAAGCTTTCTTTACAATGAAATTTTCTTAGAGGCAAAGATTAGATCTATGTAAATTTAGGTGCTTAACTAAGTTGCCAAAGATCAGAGCTTAGTTTTTTTTAGATTTTCTCTGCAGTCAAGGGAGAGAGATGGGCAAATCTAGAAATACTGTAAGTCTGGTTTATGTGGGCTGGGTTGCACACTGAAGCAATTTGTCTTTCTCCATTGACTGCAGAGGACAGATACAAGAGCTGCATAATTATGCAGCTTGTGAAAATAAGCTTAAATGAAGTGCAGAAACATAAAGGGAAGAATCTAGACCTCAGCACTTTTCCTGCAATGTGAATGAGTTGGCTAGACCTCCATTTGTCCCGTATGGTCTGCCTCAGGGAACGGACCTGACTTAGGTGGGGAGGTACTGATGGAACAAGCAATGTGAGCTATCCTCCCCCTAAACTTGTATGTTGTGTTAATGACCCAGGAAATATTCATGACTATTAAGCAAACCTTCTTCTTCTAGAGAGGCTTAGCTGTGGCTGAAAGGCTCCAACTAACTCCAAAGGGTTAGATGTAGAGAATCTTATTCTCTCAAGAGAGAAAGAACAAAAGCCAAGAGCTGATCAAAACCCTAAACATTTTGAAGTAGCTTGAGCACAAAATTTATGGGTGAAATTCAGTGCTGCATAAAACAAGAGGTGTACAGTGTTAGTTCTTCATATACATTAGTTCTTATTTTGTCTTTCTAAAAAACACATGCCAATAACGTTGTGATAATAATGCGTGTGAGTGTTGTAACTATGAGCATTAGTGTTGTGAAATAGAAATTACTGCATACCTTATTGACTGCTTCAGCTTATGTTATGATTAGAAATAAGAAGGCATATATTCTTGCTAGAAATAAAAGTAAATGTGGTGCATTTTGTGCAGAAAACAATTAGGTTTTAGACAGTGAAGAGTACAGTTGTATATTTATTATATATATACATAAAGAGAATACATTATGTCATAATAGGTGGGCTTTCTGAGTGAATTTCGGACAGCCATATTATTAATGATTAAAATATAGTGGGTCATCTCTTGCTGGTATGAATAGAACCCTGTATTATTGCACTTTGTACATGAAATATGATGAATGTATTGTGCCAATATTTTCAAAGCAGTTATATTAAAAAAATTGAAAAAAATTTTTACTTTCTGCTTGTAAACTCTGGTACTTTCCACCTGTATATGTATCCCAGGCCTTTGAGGCACCCATAAAAAATAACTTTGAAATACTGGGAGTTTGAAATTTGATATATCAAGAAGTTTTAAGAGCTAGATGCAATCCCTAGGACCTGTTAGGGGTTTCTCTTTTCAGTTACCTTTTCTACTTTACAAGGCTGGAAAAATTTCAAGCTGTAAGTTAGGATTTTTATTAATACAAAATTTCTCTGGTATAGACTTTGCCTCCCTTTGTCCTTAGAAGTAATTTGTGGAGGAATAAAATCAAAGGTTTTTGGAACTTCTTATGACCCTGAAATATTAAAATAAGTCCCAGAGAGCAGGATTAATATGCAGACATCAGATGTCCTTGATATAGGGTTTTTTTTTACACAGTTAGTTTATCGCATGGCTCTTACTGAATGTGCTATTTTGCCATGTCACTCTACAATGACAGCTGGGTAAATTTATTGAATGGTGAGTGTAGGAATTTCTGCAGATGGAGGAAACATTTTTCCTGGCGGATTGATTTAAAAAGAAAATGATTTGTCAGTGTGCAAATGTGTCTGGAGGAAAAAGGGTAAAGGAAATAGTTAGAGGTCAGTCAGTGTAATCATAAGTGAATCATACAAATGTGTACGTGTGCTTGGGCTGTGTAGATGACCTGACTGAGTTATTCATTGTTCTCATGAATGTTATGCTGGACTGGGATTTTCCTGAAGAATATTGGAAAAATGTTGATTCAGTGAAACCAAATCCTTTTATAGACACATACTCAGTTTCATCTGGATCTGGCTGGGAATGTTTTCAGGCAGTAGGAGAGAATTTGGGTTGCAATTAAACACCGACCTTTCCACTGGAATAATGCATTGGTTGAGGCACCTGGCACGGACATGGGCGACAGAGAGTGCAGAGCTGAGTGCCTGTGGGTCCACCTCACTGGAGGAGGTGAACCCCTCGCCTGTGCCTGGGGTCGTGCCCTTCCCTATCCTGGCACTCACAAGGAGGCTGTGCTCAGTATGAGTTTTATAAAAGGACCATTTTTAACAGCTTTATGTGGAGTGTTTTTGTTTGGTTGTGGGGTTTGTTGTTTGTGGTGGTTTTTTTTGTTTGGTTTTTTAATCTGGAAAGGTATTCTTGACTCTGAAATTTCAGAGAAAATTTAAATTTTCTGGAAGTTATCCTTGAATCCCCATATTTGCTTTTAATCCTACTGCATATTTAAGCTCCTTCACTTAAGAGAATCCTGTTAAATAAAGTCAATCTCTACCTGTATTCTTCTGAGTGTGCTGCTTCTTCCTTTTGATTCCTCCTTTTCTTTTCTCATACTTCTGGATTCTGCCATAGACCCCCTGGACCTGAGGTAGCCTCTTTTTCCAGTATCCCTATTTTCCCTAAAACTCCTAACCCAAGCCACTCCTTAACACTTTCTTTCCTTGTAGTTATTCCTCACACTGCTTGTCTGTGTTGTACAGATGAGAGTTCCAGTTTTGTAGCTGGGTCTTATCCCTCACATTTTTCTTTCAGAGGTGTTCTTTTAAGAGTTCCATAAAGTTTTACAGGTTTAAAGGCCAAACTTGAGAGGGAGATCTGATAAGGGAGCAAGGGACTTTGCTATTCTTTCCTTTACCCCAATTTTTTCTTTTTAAAATATTTTTCCATTTGCAGCTTTCCTCCATGAATAGCAGGCAGAAGCCCCTGGGGCCTGTTTATCCAGTCACCCCTATTCTTACACATTTGGGGTGGAATAAAATGGACTCCAGATACCATCAGCTCCTGCTGTTGGGTAAAAGTCTGACTAATGTTATTTTGATAAAAACCAAAGAGCCATCCCCCCCTTCTCCCTCTTCCCTCCCCCAAACCCCCACCCCACCAAGGGATTATGCATTTATTTTATGCTTTTAAGTTGAACAGAAAAGAGCCATAATTTCCTTTAGCATCTCCTCCTTCTAGCTGGTCTTTGGAAGACTGGGAAAGCTGGGGTGTACAGTTGGAGCACCCCTTTTTTCACATTGCCAGTTCCCTGTGCCTCTTTTCCTCCCCAAGCACAGACAGGCACACAGGCAAACAACAGTCTATCTGCAACCCGGTTACCACTGCGAGCAACCACAGCTTTTTTGTTTAACTGTATAATTGCTCTCTCGGTGGGTTTTCTTTTCCCTGTCTCCATTTGTTTTCTTAATAACTAAGACCAGTACATTTAAATGGTCCTTTTTTTTTTATTTTTTTTTATTTTATTTTTAACAAGCATACTGGATGTAACAAGATATGCAGCTAAAAACATTAATCATATTAAAACTAATTAAAAACTGAAAAGTTTCTGTGCATTCCAAGCACTGGGGGCGGGAGGGGGCGGGGAGGGCTTTGGACTGAGCACTGGCGTTTCCTGAGCGCAAGCAAATGCCTGACACATGGACTTCGCCGAATTCCAAAATGTAGCAAAACAGTGCCTGCATATTTGGCAGGAATCACCACCAGTTCAGGTCAGTGTCTGTTTCAGCAGAAGACGAAGCCCTGCATGTTAACAGAGGAAAATAATTCAGAGGAAAAGGGGAGGAACAACATGTGACATTTTGTAAGTGCAGCACTTGCGTTACCCAAGGCGCAGCACTCTCTGTAAACACTTCCTCTGATGCCACTGCCTTCGAATGCATTTTTTTTCGGATTGTGGTAGGGGGAGGCAGCGGGAGGGGTGAGGAGGAGGTCAGGGCTTTCAAGATGTTGGGATATGAATGACCTAGGGTTTTTCCTTTTTTTTTAAAAAAAAAAAAAAAAAAAAAGAAACCCAACAACTTCTACTTTTTAAATGTTGAGGGCAATAAATGTTTTAAGGAGACACCAGTGAGTCTGTGGAAAGACATGCAAGCAGTGCTACAGGACACCAAACCCCAAAACAGTGGGGGCTTGGAGAAGAGAAGGGGCAAGGCTGCAGGGAAGGGGGTACAAGTGATGGGGCTCTGCAGTGCAATCTCACAACACCAAGTGCTGGGGAGGCCACCTGGAAAGGGTGGGTGACTCTTGGAAGCCCTAGTATCTCACCTTGCTTCCACCTTGCTGCTCCATAAGCCTATGCCATAGTTCTTGGTCACTGATCCCCGGTGTCGAGGTGGGACAACCCCCGTATGCTTAGGGGCACAGTCTGCTCTCCCAATCAATTTAGAAGCAAACCTGTTTTTTGCTTTCCCAGTAAGAGTAGGTCATTAAGATTTAAAATACTGTTTTGGTCATGGCCTTCTTGCATCTTTCTTTAATTTCAGCACCTTAAGCTGCCTTTGTTGTCGAGGAACTTGCTATTTCTTCAGAGGTAGGGCTGCATCACTTGTTATTGTAACACTTCTTGGTGATAAAGTTCAGTCTAAAAATTAAGCAGCTGCAATGTTGCAGCACAAATTAGTTTAATGTAAGCAGTCAGGAGCAGCTGTTTGGCTCGGGACTGTGCTCCGGCGGTGGGGGAAGGGCGCTGTGATGCTGACAGTGTTTTTTTCTCTACATAAACATTTTCGGCTGTTGCAGCTTTTGTGCCGATCATGTGACAGTGTCCCTAGGCAGATAATTTATTTCTGTAGCTTTCATGAGCAATCATTAACCTTCAGACACTGAGCTTGCTTTCTGCTTTGTGGCATTTGTTATTTTTTTTTGTATCCTAACTAGTTTAATTCACAGAGTGTCAGGAGAAAATTACAACCAATTTATAATAGACTGTAATGCATAATACTTATGTTTCTATTAAAACAGACCTTGCTTACAAGACCATTCTTAAGGCTTAGCTTGTGTTCATGGATCAGAATAATTATTTTCAGTGATGTAAGTGCAGCTGTCATCATGATACTCCCATAGTGTCTTATTCTGAATGCAAAGCCCTTCAGAGTCCTGATTTGGGACCACCCTTTTGAATTCCTCCTTTGCTGGACACACTGCAAAGTTTATTGAGATGCAACAGGCTTGGGAGAAAGGGCATAGCATTTATTCTGGTGATTGCTATTCTCCCACCATGACCGGCTGCTGAACAGGTATTGACCGCTGCAGAAAGTGTGTCTAGAGGAGAGGCGAGGCACTACTGATAACAATTACAGCTTGAATCTGTACTAACTTACTCTGGGGTTTTAGAGCAGACTCAGCAGACAGGATTGGATCACAAAGCAGTTGTGACTGTTAGAAAAAAGACTTCATTTTCATTCCTGTTCATTTTGTTAGAGCAAGGGAAACAATAAATTAAGTGACTTTGTCAAGGTCACTGAAGAAATAAATGTCAGGGTAGGAATTTCCCTTTCCCTAATCCTTTTCCCCAAGTCCTGTGCTTTTGTCTAGGGAAGATGACAGAAGATTGAAAAATACAGTCTTGGGCAAAAAGACTAAAAAGTAAACAATAAAAAAAAACAAGGGGGGGGGCAGGTGGAGGGAAGAGAAATCACAAAAAGAGCTGAAAGCCAAGGTAACTGCTGACTTACTGTGAATACAATTTTCCTTCAGATCTGAATGTGATTTTGGCTTTTATTTGCTGCCTCTCTGCCCTATCTTAATTCCCTTTTCTAACTGGCCATTCACTAGCACTATGAAGTTCATCGTTTTTTATACAGAAAGCAACTTATTATGTTTATATACACTTTGAATAGGTGTAGCCTAGACATGCGTATTCCTTGCTTTATTTCTTATAGTTTGTGCCATAGTGGAATCAGACATTTATGACAGAAGTCCTGCCACATAATGTTGCAGATACAATGGATAAGACAGACATAGGGTGGAGGGGAACAGACATGGAGAATTAAAAGATTTTTCCAATGCCCCAAGGAAGAAAAGGGACTTTATCATAATCTGGTTGATGGAAGAGCAGTACCATCCTGATAGCTCAACTACTGCTTTACCCCCTTAGGACTCAAATGAAACTTTGTCTATCCTGTGATTGCCCATTAACTTATGAAAAAGGCACGTAACTGGAAGAAGACCAAAATGTATGCTTAGTCTGAGATATGGCAGTAGCACATGCTGTATCATCATGTAAAATATATAAATGGGTGGATGGATTTTGCTGTCAATGTCAGGAAAAACATTTCTTTTCTCATTAGTTAAAAATAATGTCTGAAATTGGTGTTTTACTGATAGTAGGTTTCTGTGTGGAAAGATGAATGAATGAGTAGCTCACTGTTTGAAACCTCCATCTTTCAAAATGTTTAATGAAAATGAAAGCACAACATATGGTAAATGTGGATGGAAATCAGGGATGAAAAAGCAGAAGCCTGGGACGCTCACTGAAGGGCAAACATGAATACAGAGGGGTTTGCTGTGTTACATATAAGCATACATACATACAAGCAAGTAACATTTTTGGATGTATTAGAGTGACTTAGGAGTTATCATCCCATTGACTTTTGACAAGAGTCAGGATGTAACTGCCTAAATCAATTCTGAAAATGGGAATTAGATTTCTAAGTCATTTTAAGGTGCTTTTGAAATTTTTAGCCTTAATCCCAGGGTGATTAATTTGCAACAAGGTGATTCATTTGTATCTTTCTTGTCTTCAGAAGCCTGAATGACACATCTGAGATGCACTCTAAAAGCACAGGTAATAGAGTGCTACCTCAGCGACTTTTTAAAAGGCAATTGATTAATTTGAATTCATGCTTTTATTCACACGTTTAAAGGATTCTGAAATTAGTAATAGTGCTTTGGAGCTGCTTGGTTTGAACTTTCGCTTCCATGCCCTTGCCTTCATTAGGATTCACCCCCCCCCCTTTTTTTTTTCTTTCTTTTTTAATTTTTCTTGAAAATTGTCCCTATCCATCCCCATTGCTAACAGCAATGCAGCCCCTCTGCTCACAGCAAAAGCAGGAGGTCTAAGATAGTTGCTGTTTTGGTGCAAGGAATGGCTGAGTAGTTTTAGAGAAAAAAGTGTCCTGGGACCTGTTGTGAACTGGTCTCTACTAGTTTGCACTGGGAAGTACAGGCACTTTTGCTGGAGCTGCCCTACAGCAAGCAATGCTGGGAGAAAGGGCTGGTCAGACACAGTTAGACAAGACTTCCTTACGGTAAATTCAAGTCACCTAACCTGGTAGTTTGCCCGAACATAAAATAACACTGATCACTTTGGTATTTCACCAGGTTTTGTTAGAACATACTGTAGTGTTTTATGAACTTATTTTTTTGTTATTACTGTCCTAATCTACTTTTGGAAAGCTGAAACTGTAGTAATACTTGTATAGATTTGGTCAAGACATTATATAAATCCATATATACTACTGACCTACATCAACAACATTGTTGCAAAGGTCAGTTTCCATTGCTCCTGTGAGACTCTGTGTTTTAGGGTGTAACTGATGACACAAGATGCTCTCTGGAGTGAAAGGAAGACTGCCAAGTCTTTCTATGGGACTTCTTGAAAACATTAGTGCTTACCAGAAACAGCAGACATCAGAAACAAATCTAAATAGTTGACTTGACTGTACTTTCAGAATCGAAGGATCTGATGATCACAACAACTTTACCTTCACCCCCTCATATAACTGCAGCCAAAGAGACTTCTAAAATTAATTTCGAAGGCAATGACTGGTATTTACTGTTTGGAGTAAGGAAGCCTGGGTTTGCTTGCATGTCTTCAAGGAGAGAAGCAGAGTAGAGGGACTGAATGCAATGCAGGTTTGATTTATGGGCTAATATTGCCAGCTTTTGACTGTGAAAATTATTTGGTAGAATGATTTGTTTCATGCAGTTTCAAAGTAATCTCCCTGAGAGCTAGGAAGTTACCTAAGTTTTTTGTGCTGCAGGCTGGAGAGAATCACGTTCCCAAGGAGCCCTCCTGCATTTTCCAGTGTATCAGCAGTCTCAACCACTATACCTCTTTTGATATAAAGATTCCTAAAAGGTCCTAAGGAATATTGGGGACATGTGAGTATTAGGGAAAACATGCCTTTAAGGACATACTCTGAAGCTCTCTACTCTCATCCACACAAGAGTAGAAGAAGGGTAAAGCTTCATCACAATCTGGGCTGCAATACCTGGGCTTTTCTTTCCTGAGTCCCTTGTCTGGAAAAAGTGCTACACATCATTTGGTCTTTGAGGAACGGAGTGCCTTGCATTGAGAGCAATCCTTGCAGGCACTTCTGGCTCACATTGTTGTTTAGGACATCAAGCACTAAGTTAATAAGTGACAGAGCTTTCCTTCTTGGTAGCCCAGAACTGTAGAGGGTGTACCTAAAAGATCTAAAGTCTACTGTGAAATCTACCACCATCAATTCTCTGAGCTTGCTTTTCTAAATATAAACTGATACAACATAAATCTGTATGTAATACTTGAACATATTCTAAAACAGATCCCAGACTGTCCACCCTGCTCTCAGGAGAGGATGGTAAAGCAGACTGTTTTGTGCAGTAATAGAGCTTGGAAATGGTGACAAACACAAGGTAAGAATGTATAGGAGAACAGTTAACCTGGTCTTTGAGGAATTTGAACTGGTAAATTTCTTTCCCTTGCATTTTTCATTGCTTAAAGAGGGAAAAAAAACCCCAACACTCTCAAAAGGCAAAGACACAAAACAAAACCCTAACCCAAGACCCTGCAGAGGAAATGAAACCACAAGAACATTTTTCACACTAGCTAATTTCAAGGGTCTGGCATACACACAACAAACCTAGGAAGTTTGCGGGTTCATGATACCATTCTCCCAAATGCCAATACACTGGGCTTTCCTGTGATATACACGTGTGCTTTAATGTAGTTTTAAGCATTTATTTATTTTCACTTTAAGTTTTTATCTCCTTTAACCCACTAATTCTCTTCACTGCCATGCAGCTGACCAGTTCTAGAGAATTCGCAGTAATCTTTCACCCCAGAATGTGTTTATATATAGGGAAAGTTGAGCAGAATGAATTTATTTTCACAAGAACAACAGAAGTCCTTATTTTCACAAGGACAAGAGAACAAGCTTGTAGTTTACAAATCAGCATTTCATTTATCTGAACTGCAAAACAGAAGGGAGGAGTTGGCCAGAAACAGGAAACAAGGATCTAGAAATGTATTTTAACACAGTTATTTCTCCCTGAAGATTATCAACAAAATAAAAGCAATGGCTTACTAACCAGAAGCATTGAAGAAAGCTCTGAGGAGTCCTCATTGTGTCCTTCCAGTTCTTAAAGAGGGCTTACAAAAAATGAGGGAAGGGAACTTTTTACACAGGCAGATAATGATAGGACAAGGGGAACAGTTTTAAACTAAAAGAGGAGAGATTCAAATTAGATGTTAGGAACAAATTCTTTACTGTGAGGGTGGTGAGGCAGTGGAACAGTTTGCCCAGAGAAATTGTGAATGCCCTGTCCCTGGAAGTGTTCAAGGCCAGGTTGGAGGGGGTGGTGAGCAACCTTATCTAGTGGAAGGTATTCCTGCCCATGACAGGGGGGTTGGAATTAGATGATCTTTAAGGTCTCTTTGAACCCAAACATTCTGTGATTATATGATTGAATCTTCTGCGTAAATTTTAGTTTCTCTTTAAGGTATCTTGGCACAGGATAGGAGGTTTAGGAGTCTGACTACACTCATGAATATTTTGTCCTGGTTTTTTTTTTTTCCTCTTGAGAAAAGTTGTCAGCTTGAAAGAAGGTGGTATGGTGAGACCAATATCCTTTTATGGAGAATGTGTTTCAAAGAAAAGGATAAATCACAGAAACAGCAGGAAACATCTTTATAATTTCATTAGCTCAATTTAGAGATTAATATTAGGCTTCTGAAATGTGTTTGTTCAGTTGTTTGTTGGCAGTTTTTTTCCACTTCTTTGGAAAATTTGTATTTTTATTCATGGGCTTTACTCACTGTTCTCTG